GCTCTTGCTCAGGCTGGTTTCGAACTCCTGAGCTCAAACAATCCGCCCGCCTCGGCCTCCCAGAGAACTAGGATTACAGGCGTGAGCCACCGCGCCCGGCCTCACTGTAACTTTTTAACTTTTATTTTCCCCACCCTACTTTTAATTTTTTAACTTGTAATAAAACTTAGTTTAAAACACAAACACATTGTCCAACTATGCAAAAATATTTTCTTCATATCTTTATTCTCTAAGCTTTTTTCTAATTTAAAAATTTGTTTTCTTCGTTTTTAAACTTTGTTGTTAAAAACTAAGATACACAGATACACATATTAGCCTGGAGCCTACACAGAGTCAGGATCATCAAGATGTTACTAGGCTGTAAGGATTTTTCAGCTCCCTTATAATCTTGTTGAACTTCCATCATCTGTGTGGTTCATTGTTGACTAAAATGTCATTATATGGCACATGGCTGTAATAGAATATTTCTTAGCAATACAAAGGAATGAACTGATAGATACAAAAGGAGCAATCTCAAAGTTGTGCTAAGTCAAATACAAAAGAGTGTAGAATGCATGAAGTGGGATGGATTGCAAAGGGGTGCAAAGAATCTCTTGGAGGTGATGGAAATGTTCAGTGTCTCGATTATGGTGGTTTCAGGATGTATACAGTGGTCAAAACTCATTGACTTGAACACTCTAAATAGATTCAGTTGCTTGTATGTAAATTAAGCCTTAATAAAATGGCTTACAAAAATTATGCTGATGAAAAGAACATAAACTGTATAATACATTTATATGAAATTCTAGAAGCGGTTAATGTGATCTGTACTAACAGAAAATTGTTGCCCCTGGTGTGGGTCAGGGGAGATGGCAGGGGGGACACAGATAATAGAACCCTTTGGGGAAGTATTCTCTACGTCTTGAATTTAGTGGTTAAATGGGTGTATAAATTTGTCACAATTAATCAAAATTTACAGTTATGAACAGTGCCTTTTGTATGTAACTTACACGTCAGTAAAGGTGATTTTTTAAAAGACAGAAAATGTTAATTGAGAAGAACGTAAATGATTATGTAAGCAGCACACAAAATGGGGTAATCAACAGTGCCTAAAGATACATGGAAAAAGAGGGACTGTCCAGGATCTCACTATGGAAGAATGAGTAAGAATTCAGTAGGAAGTGGACACATGAGTCTGTACTAGAGACCAGAATGGAGAATATTACAGATAGAGATATGTGAAAACAGAAGTGGTATACTAAACAGACAAGGTACTTGTGCTTTTATTCCAGTAATGTGTTATTGGCACCGAGTCACCACACCATTGGTAGATGCTAACAAGTAGCATGGTTGGGATTCAATCACGTATGTATCTGATAGCAAAGCCTTCTGGTTCAGTTATATCTCAGGGTGTGAGGTGTTTGGTATGCCTTGGGTCTAAGGTCTAAGGATTTGTAGGTGATCAGAGGAAAGGTGGTCAGCGGCTAGACTGCTACAACATTCTATGGAGGTTGACCATTGCTCTTTATTCTCTTTATAAAGAACTTGATTTCCAGTGGTTTCATTAACCTAGGTGTTAAAATATGATAGGAAAGAAGTTAACTTGACTTCCCAAATGTATTATGTATTTTCTATTTTTACATTTAATATTTATGATAACACTAATATACTTAATGTATAATATTTTCTATTAAATATATTCTAATTTAGGGAGCTAAGTACTACATTGATTCTCAAAAAATGTGATCACCTGACTAGTAGCATCAGTATAACCTTAAACTCTGTTAGAAATAATGATTTTTGGGTTTCACCTCAGATCTCTACTGAAATTCTGGGAATGGAGCTCAGCAAGTTTTGTTTTTAACAAGGTACTAGGTGACTATGATGCACACACTAAAGTTTGATAACTACTAGCCTAGTAAAATAGGGCTTGAAACAGCTTAGGGATTTA